GGTGTCCCAGAAATGTTTTTCCTGCCTTTTAGTGTTTTTTGGGAGGGGGGGGGGGGTCCCAGAAATGTTTTTCCCACCTTTTATATATTTCTATTTGTTAATTTTTTTGCGTTAAAACACAAATATATCGATAAAACTAACATTAAAACTTAATTTACAAATTAAATAATTTTTTCCCTTTTTTCCCTACATTTTTGTACAGTTCCTAACCAAAATATATTTCTGTATTGATTTATTTTTTTTTTCTATTTCTGTATTAATTTATGCATCTATTTAACACATAAGATGCATAAATTAAATGAGTAAATAAACAAAAAGAACAAAGTCATAAGTAAAAGAAAAATTATTTGTTTTTCTCAACATTTTGTTTCCTTGTATTTATTTATTTATTTATTTATTCATACATTTTATTCATTTTCCGTATGAATGAAATGTAAAAATAAATAAAAAATAACTATAAGAATATGTAAGGGCTCATCCTGCTCGGGGTCACAAACACTCTCACCGCTCCACTCAAATAACAATCACTTGATGGGAAGAGTTTCACATGTGTAACGGCTCATTCCTGATGTTAAAACATCACAGCAGGGCACAGTGTGAGTCAAAGTGGTTTAATTATGGTCCACTGTTACATCTCTTGCTGAAACCAAAAGTAACGAGACACTTGTTTAAATTAAAAGCTCAGTTTAAGTGCGACAGCAAACATCACAGTTTCAGCTCACAGTGGTCGCAGTACCTCAGCGACACAGCGACACGGACATGCACACTGTGCACGCTGCTTTACAGCTCGTGTTGATTTAAAGGAGTTTAAAGTTCACACTGAATAAGAAAGAAATATATATGTACACGAATGAAATCAGAGATCTTATCTGAACTAGAATGAAATCACAGATCTTGTCTGAACTAAATCTAGTTTTCTGAAGTCAACTTAGAAACTACAGTTTTCCTGCAAAGGTTTAACATGCGAACCTGCTTCCTGACCCCAGAGTCTGAGAGTTACATAAAGAGAGGACGGCACAATGCGAGGCGGAGACGGTCCCTCAGTTCTGATCCTGAAACTCTGCACTCATCTGAGGAGACAAGAAGAGACGGACGACAGGTTATTAGATTGTTCTGGTTCAAATATGTCTCAATGTGATATCATAAAAATATCACAGAGTCATTTTACAGTGTTTCATCAATACGTTTAAAATGTCACAGCACAGAATGTCATATAATTAATAAATAAATAAATAAATAAATACATAAATACATAAAGTCATGGTAAAGCATACAAAAAATGTCATTATAGTATGCCATGAAAATGTAAAATAAAAAATAGTCTTATTATAGTATGCCATTAGATGAAATAAAATTAAATTTAAAAAGGTCATAGTATAGTATACCATAAAAAAAGTAAAACAAATAAATAATAAAAAATGATTAAATAAAAATAAAGTCACAGTATAGTGTGCCTTAAAAAAATATAATAAAAAAAATTAATAAAAAATATAGTCATTAAAAAAAAATAGTAGTAAAAAAGCCGTACAGTATGTAATAAAAATGGAAAATAATATATATATGATTTTCAAAGTCACACTATAGTATGTCATAAAAAATTTTTAAATAAATAAATAAAAAGGCCATAGTATAGTATGTAAAATAATTAAAGTATTGTATGTCATAAAAAAGTCTTTATATAGCAGGTACTAAAAAAGTTAAAGTCTAGCTGCAGAGTGTAGAGCAACAGATTAAAGCTGCATCTACCTGAACGTCAAACTCTCCGAATCCAGCAATCAGATTGTTGGTCTGAAAGCAGAGCAAGAAGATAAACAGAGGAGAGCCGGATTTACAGCTGGACGTGCGCACACACACACACACACACACACACACACACACAGACACAGACGGACACACAGACGGACACACAGACGGACACACGTGCTAAATCTTCAAGTGAAAAAGGGTCGGGGTGGGACAACGCCAGCGTTCACATATCGATGTTTGAAGTCTGAGTGTCGTGAGAGCAAAGTGCTCTTCATTCAATTTTAGTGTGATTATGTTGTTTCCTGACACGATGCTGGCGTTGTGCCTTTGAGCAAGGAGCAGCAACCTTCATCCCATTTAAGCCCAAACACTAAAACATGTCTCGGCTCTCACCACAGCGTCGATGTCTCTGGGACTGACGTACTGCGACAGCACCTTGTAGTCGTCAGGAGACATGGGCATCATGTTGTCCTGCAGTCTGGACGGATGTCTGCACACAAACACTCTCATTAACCTGTTTGATCCGTCACTGATGAAATATATATGTCACATTAAATATTATAATACTGACACTTCTGAGACGGATATGAGCTCCGTCTTCATGTAGCCGGTCCTCTCTGGACCGTTCTCCACATCCATGGGCTCTGGAGCTGCACGTCAGACAGACACAGAGTCAGACGTTAATAATTATATTTATTCTGCTGCAATAAATCATCTTACTTTACTGCAATAATTATATTTATTTTAATACAATAATTACTTTTTTTCTAGTGCAATAAATTATTCTATTTAAGTGCAAAATTATATTTATTCTAAAGCAATAATTAATTTTTTACTAGTGCAATTATTATTTTCATTCTTGTGCGATGAAAGAATTTATTTAAGTGAATTTATTACGTTTATTCTGGTGAAATAAATTCAATTATTTTACTGCAAAATTATTTTATTTTACTGGAATAATTTCTAGTGCAATTATACTTTTTGCTAGCACTTTAAATGCATATATTTATATAACAATAATTACTTTTTTCTACAGCATTAATTGCATTTACTTTAGTGAAATTATTACATTTATCCTGCTGCAATTCTACTGTTTGTTTAAAGCAATAAATGCATTTATTCTGGTGCAATAAATGCTCTTATTTTACTGCAATAATTACTGGTGCAATTATACTTTTTTATGCAATAAATAATTTATTTTAAAGCAAAATTGCATTTATTTTAGAACAATAATTACTTTTTTCTAGTGCTATAAATACATTTATTTTAGTGAAATTATTATTATTAATAATTAATTAATTAATTATTATTCTGCTGCAATAAATCCTTCTATTTAAGTGCAAAATTATATTTATTCTAATGCAATAATTCCTTTTTTTCTAGTGCAATTATTATTTTTATTCTTGTGCTATAAATGCATTTATTTTAGAACCATAATTATTTTTTCTAGTGCTATAATTACATTAATTCCAGTAGAATAAATGCATTTATTCTGGTGAAATAAATTCTCTTTATTTAGTGCAAAATAACATTTATTTTAGTGCAATATTAACTTCTTTCTTGCAGTAATTATATTTATTTTAGTGTGATAAATGCATTTATTCTGGTGAGATAAATTTTACTGCAAAATTATTTTTATTTTACTGCAATAATTTCTAGGACAATTGTACTTTTATCTGGTACTTTAAATGCACTTATTTTAGTGCAAAATAATTTATTTTAGAACAATATTTACTTTTTTCTACAGCATTTTTTTCTATATTTATTTTACTGCAATAATTTCTGGTGCAATTATACTTTTTTATGCAATAAATGCATTTATTTTCATGCAATAGATTCTAAAAATAAATTGCATATATTTTAGAACAATAATTATTTTTTTCTGCTGCAATAAATTCTCTTTATTTAGTATAAAATAACATTTATTTTAGAGAAATTATCACATTTATTCTATTTCAAAAATCACACTATATTTATTTTACTAATTATTTTAGGAGCGGTGTTGTCGACGTTTATTTGCTGCAGTTTCTTTGTATTTTTATTAGTGTGTTCTTCTGTGTCTTTATATTTCAGTGATCACACTGCACAATGTCAATAAAGGTCTTTTATTTTGATGTAAAAGTCCTGCTTTTACAATCCTGTTTTAATTCACAAGATAAAAGCAAATTATCATCAGTTATTTCAGTTTTTAGTTAATTTAATCTGCATTAAATAAAGCTGTAATCATCATATTTATGAGTGAGCGGAGTTTGGTGACTTACTCTCGGAGGGTTTGGGGTAGTACTTCCCGAAGGCCTTGTCTTTGGGGATGTTGGGGTAGAGGAAGCGGAGCGGGTTCTCCGGGATGTTCTCGGCGGCCATCACCTTGTAGGTGCGGATGATGTCGGGCAGCGAGACGGCGGACAGCTCCTTCTTAGTGTACGGCTCCACAGAGTGGTAGAGAGGCTTGTCTGGGGTCAAGAACACAGACGCTTTATTAAAGGTGGAGCTTCTGTCTTTTCATTCTGTGTCTAACGTCTGCTTTAAAGTCTCCCTGTGTTGGACACGTGAAGTTCTGCTCACCGTGGACGTCGTGTTCGATCCAGGTGAAGGTGATGGCGCCCTCCCTGCTGCTCTCACTGAAGCGGAGCAGGAAGGTACCCGGACACTTGTCGCTCAGCAGACCCTTCTCCCTCTCCTTACTGATGAAGCCCATGATGGAGCTGCGAACACACAACACATCTACATCAAGACAAGTCTCGTAATGGCCGGCGCCACTGGTTTAAATCAGAGCAGCACTCACCCGTCATTCCAGAGGGACAGCAGGTGTCTCTTAATCAGATCCAGGATTCCTTCGATCCACAGCCAGAAGGGGAAAGACTTCTCGTTGGCACTCTGCTGCTGGACGAAACAAAAGGGTTTAGGTTAGTAAAGAGTCTGAGCAGGGCACGAAAGCAGCAACTAAAGATCACGAGATCATGTGACAGGATAGACGTGTTTGTACGAGGCCTCAAGTTGACAAATCTGTCACAGAATTATAGCAATTATCTCACTGGCTGTATGCAACACACCTGTGAGCAACCCTGGTGGTAAGAGCTCCTTCTGCCAGTTGTAGTTTTTTAATACTGGATGTCATGAAAAGCAGCATGCCCTTCAGTTTCCAATTCCAGCACTTTGCCAAGACCGAGCCGGGTGGAGCTGCAGCTGTTCTGCATCACTGGGACATTTGTTAACATTTTTTTCTGACATTTTATCAATATATTGTTCGGCTATTTTTTTAACATTCTTTTGGACAATTTAATAATAGTTTTGCGATGGTTTATTAATTTTTTCAGACGATTTTTTTAAATTATTTTTGGACATTTCATCAACTTTTTTTTTTATTTATTATTAATTTTTTTTTAGGATTTTTGAAATAGTTTTTCCACACAATTTCACATTTTTTTCCTCAAACATTTTAAAATATTCTGATCTTTTTAAAATATTTTTCCAGATAATGTGATAACATTGACATTTTATCAACAGATTTTCTTAATATCTTTTGGACAATTTATCAAAATATTTTCGAATTTTTTTTAAAAAACAATTTCTCAGACAATGTGATAACATTTTTCAGACATTTCAGTAACATTTATTGGGAAATTTTAATTATAGTGTCCCAACATTTTATCAACAGATTTTCTAACATTTTCTTAATTTTTTTTTTGACAATTTGTCCCTTTTTTCCAAACATTTTATTATAAATTTTTCTGACATTTTATCAACATTTTTTGGGATATTTTATTAATATTTTTAGGATTTTTGAAATATTTTCTTTCCACACAATTTATCAAATTTTTGAATATTTTATCATTTATATAATATTTTCTGATTTTTAAAAAATATTTTTTCAGATATTTTACCATTATTCTTTTTTTTTTTTTTACATTTCAATAACATTTATTGAAAAATTAACAATATTTTCGTGACATTCTGTCGACAGATTTTCTTAATATTTTTTGGACAATTTATCAAAAACATTTTCTAAATTCCTTTTTTTTAAATTCTCAGACAATGTGATAATATTTTGCAGATATTTATCAATTTTTTTATTTTAACATTTTGTTAACAATTTTCAGACATTTCAGTAACATTTTTAGGGAAATTTTAATTATATTGTCCCGACATTTAATCAACAGATTTTCTAACATTTTCTTAAAAAAATTTCAAACATTTTATCAAAATATTTTCTGAATTGGTATTATTATTATTTTTTTAAAAATCAAACAATGTGTTAATATTTCGCCGACATTTTATCGATATATTTCTTTTTTTTTTTGTTAACATTTTTCAGACATTTTAATAACATTTTTGGGGAAATTTTAATTATATTGTCCCGACATTTTATCAACAGATTTTCTAACATTTTCTTAAAATTTTATTATATTTTTTTTCTGACATTCTTTAAAAATATTTTCAGACATTTTATTAATTTTTTCAGATTTTTTTTTAACTCCGTTTTCAATTTAACATTTTTTTAATTTTATTAATTTTTTTTTAAGATTTTGGAAAAAAAAATTCACAGAATTTATCAATTTTTTTAAAAAACATTTTATCACAAAAAAAAAAAAAAAAAAAACAACACAAACAAAACACACACATCATCACTAGTCTCTGCGTGGCGCTGTTCAACATGATGGTGTCTTACCTTGCAGAACTTGGTCCAGGGGATCAGACCCTCTGGGTTCCTCTGGGCTTTGGCTCCTGCACACAAACATGGAGGTGTCACATTTACACCTGACGCCTCTGCGCCAAATGCAGTGATGTCACGTGTCATGGCGTGTCGTGTGTTTCCTACCGAGCAGCTTGTCAGCCAGCATGTTGAGCTGCTCCTGGTTCAGGCCTCGCTTGGTGACTGAGGAGAACTGCCAGCTGAGGACCTCGGACAGCTGGGACCACTTCGCCGCAGGAGGGGTGATGAAGAACTTCAGATTCTGAGGATGAGGAGGGGAAACGTCAGCAACAGCATGACTTCCTATGTGTGTGTGTGTGTGTGTGTGTGTGTGTGTGTGTGTGTGCTCACCCTGGGCTCAGTGGTCAGCATGTTGTACCAGAGAATGGACGCCCAGCCGCTGGGCAGCTGACACACGTTAGAGATGACCACGACAGGCAGAGACATGGCCTGAAAACAACAACAACAACAACATGTAAACAACCATGAACAGAGTAAACGAAATAATCTGCGTCGTCTCGTCTCACCTCCAGTTTGATGTCGAGTCCCGACTGGTTGAGCTGCAGCTCCGACTCGAAGCTGAGCGAGTGAAGCTCCTCGGTGACGATCAGAGGACCCTGAACACACACACACACACACACTCTCAGCTTAAAACTACACAACGACTCTTGTGTGTGGTCTGCACATGTATGGCTGAGGTGAGACAAACAGACTGGAAACGTAAGACTCGTACCTCATTTGTTCGGTTGCCGGCAACTTTCTGCTCCTTCAGTTGCTGCGTGAAGAGTGAAGAGACGTTAAGACAACATACCACACACACAGACACACACACACACACGTGACACGTAACAGTATGAAAGACTCACCAAGTGTCTGAACTCTGCTGCCAGGCTGCCGTTCGACTCCTCCATGTTCATGACTTTGGTGTTTGTGCCTAAAATGTTAAACTTACGAAACCTGACGACAGATAAATAAACAAATAAACAAACAAACAAATAACAACAATAATCAAAGTACGACATGTTGTCCACGGTTCAGAGACGTACCCTTTCTTCTCCGTCACGTCTCTGAGGAGCAGAAGACAAAGTGATTTAGCAACATGTTTCAACAGTTATGAGCAGCAGGTGACACGAGCTGTTGAACGCAGCTTACTTGTCAAACAGAGCCTTGACTTTGAGCTGGTAGTTAAACTCGTGCAGCTTCACCAGGAACCTGCAACGACAACAGGAAGTTACAGGCGACGGAGAAGAAGACACAAGTATATGTACGTATGAAGCTTGTTGCTGTAAGGACTGCGAGGACTTCCTGCGTCCTGATGACGCGACGCTCAGATTTGAGTCTCTCACCGCAGCTTGACTGTGAACTGGACGCCTGTCTTCAGCACCAGAGGCCTCTGAGGGTGAGTGGGCATACAGGGCTGCCTCTCCACCACCAGGGAGCTGCACACACACACACACACACACACACACACACACACACACACACACACGTCATTGTTTGGTACCTTTAATTACACATGAAGGTGATCAGTGCAGGAGGTTCTGTACTTGGAGAGGAGGTTCTTGAGGAGGTCCAGGGCCCGCGCCTCCAGGTAGGCCTTCTTCTGTGTGATGGGGTCGCTGTCGTACGTGAACTTCTGCTCCAACTCCTGCAGCTTCTTCAGGTGCTGACGCACCTGCTGCAGACTCTCCGCTACTGCCGTGAACCTGAGGGAGGAGGAGGAGACGCAGGAGGAGCATGAGGAGAATGAGGAGATGCCGGAGGAGGAGGAAGAGGAAAGGGAAATGACAGATGAAGAGGAGGTGGAGGAGACGCAGGAGCAGGAGAGAACAACATAGATGAAGAGGGGGAGGAGGAGGAGGAGGAGGAGGAGATGCAGGAAGAGTGGGAGGAACAGCAGGAGGAGGACATGCAGGAGATGCAGGAAGAGGGGGAGGAGGAGACACAGGAGGAGGAGATACAGGAGGGGGAGCA